AGCGACGCGTTTGCAGCGATGATTCACCCGGCAGTCGTAAAATTTTTCTTCCCTCTCACGGTCCATAAGAGCTAGGGGTGTAACGATATTCGAACCGAACCGAAAAACCGCGATACAGAACACACGATTCGAATCGCGATACTCTCATTGCAAACCGAACACGCCCCTCCGCGCCCCCTGCTACCCCGGCCCCGCCCAGCCCGGCTCAATGGACCTCATGTCTTGTGTACAGTACACAACGAATTCAGTTTTGTAGCCTAACCACCATTAACACCAAATAACAAGCTCCGTGTTTTGTTACTTTCGATAATAAGCAAGGTGTAATCTTTCAAATTCTGTCTATTTGATCACGAAATTCAAACAATAAATGGCGTTTTGGCGCTCTTTGATGTGGCGTGACAGATCGCTGTATGCCTACTAAGCTCCTCATTTCAAGCGGCAGCGCGGCGCGCGGGTAAACGCGATCATCTCTTCCTCAGTTACAGAATGGACACCTGAAGGTATGTTGAAAGATGCAGTATACTTACTGAAAGGCATCATAACTCGTGTAATCGCTCAATCAGTGTTTCAGCAGCGGAAAGACGTCAATAAAACAGCATAGCTTGTCACTAGCATTATATTTACCTCAACAGCCAAGTGATTCAGTGTCCACAACTTTGGTTCCTATCAAATGAACTCTTGCACTAAATAAATGCACCATGTTAGCCTATATATTATATTTTACTTAACCTGTTAATGATATCTTGATTATTTAATGTATGTTTAAAATATCTTTCATGAAAATGACAACTGTGTAAAGTATTATATTTCAATAACAAATTAGAGTAAAAACACAAGTTAATGCAAAACCTGCCTTATGTTCAGTTTACATGTTTTCATACAATGTGTTGTGTGTTGATTATTATATCTAAAAAATAAATAGCATCTGAATTTAGGTTAAAACTCTAGGCTACAACCTTTAATGTTATAGTAATTAGCAGATTTTTTTTTAATCCTTGTGAAACGTTTAATTGTAATTGAATTAATTTAAAGACAAAGATAATTTTTTCGTTAAACCACTGTTTAAAAAAAGAAAAAAAAAAGCAATTTTAGCTTTCTAAACCGAACCGAATCGAACCGAGACGTCAAAACCGTGGGAAAACCGAACCGTCAATTTTGTGTATCGTTACACCCCTAATAAGAGCTAATTCCTCCTCCGTGTACTCGGGTTCAAACAGATATGGCTCTGGGTCTGCTACAAAGAAGTCACAATCATCTACAAAGTCCGCCATTGCAAATGATCTGCAGTTTGCTAATAGCACAAGTAGTAAAGTCACGTTGGTTGTATTGACGGAAATGAGAGGGAGGGGAGAGGAAGCGGGAGCCGGTAAGAGGACTTTTCACGAGTGATGATATTATTGCGCCAAGTCGAAGTGCTCAAAGGCACTTGTTATGGTATTCCGCCATACAATATAGTCATCAATTTTAAACGCTTAGAAAAGAGCAACGTTTTATTTTGTGTCACCAGCCTAGGTCGAGTTACACTACTCGAGTAACTGTGTTTAAATAGGGAAAACGAGGAAGTGTTTGGTCGCTTCTCTTTTTGGCCCATATTTAATGCACTGGGCTAAGCTAAGTGCTAACAGTTTTGCGGCAATACAGAGCGATATAGTGCACGCACTGAGACGAGAGAGGTATGTATCAACTCGTCTTAGTTAAGGGAATAACATAGTTTAATATGAAAAACCGGTGGAGTATCCCTTTAACGGATGTTACACCCATTTTTTGCTAGCTGGGAATTGTTTACAGTTTGGTTTGTTTCATTATTATGATCAGGCAGAGTTCATGTTAGGACACCGAAGACAAAGTGATCCCTGTCTGGAGAAAGACAACATGCATGAGCTAACCTGAATTACTCCGTCTAAACCCAGGAGTTACTCAACCATGGATCAATTCTGCTGGATCCGTTTTGCACATTAAATCAAGAGTTATTTCGATTGTTACAGTGATCACTAAATATAGGCTAAGATGGTAAATTAAAAGCAGATTGTGCAGAAATTTAACAAAACCCTTAATAAATACTTTCCCTCTGACTTATGGTTGATACTCAATAAACTGAATTTCAACCAGAAATGAATGAATAAACTGAAGTCAGGCTTCACTGGATTCATTGATCAGGCCGAGATACGTCATATAAACCAGCACAAATCACTCGTGTCTCAGTCTGTGCAGTGAGGCTAACAGAACAAAGCAGAATTGTGAGATAAAAAGTCGCAATTTTATTCCTTTGCGGACACAAGCTTCAATATTCTTACTCTCAAAGATTGCTAATGCTCCAGCCACAGTCCGTTCTGCTCATACTTCTTTAGTGTTTTCTGTGCAAGTATTCATTAATATTTTAAACTATAGCTAAAGCCTCACATCTGAACACAGCAGACGCTGAACCTGCTGCAGAGAGCCTGACTGACAGCTGTCAATCACACTGCAAATCAAACAGGAAGTGCTTCCTGAAGCTTGAATATACGGATGTCAGTGTGAACAGCCTGAACATTCAAGACAACAGGTGAAGTTTTGAAGAACATTATGCAGCTCTTCATTAAGGACAATAAGAGACTCACAAAAGCACTATATGAAACCCGAGCTGAATAACGACACTGTGTCGTCTCTGGAGCTGTTTATAACTACACTAGTTTCAGAATAATATGATGAGGATCTTTGCACAGCTATGGAACTGAACTGAATTGTCTGTTTATAGACATCATCTATTTGATTTGATTATTTTCCTGTTTATTACTGTAAAGTTGCTTTGAAACACTCTATAAAGCACGACTATCTTCCTTCTGAAGATTTTCCGTGAATAATGAATTAAACTTGAACCTGTTTCTCGCACAAAACTATCACATGACTTCGGAAGACTCCCGTTCCCATTAAACTATAAAAACGTTACTTCTGAATGTTATCAAAACGTCCATTAAAAAAAAAAAAAAAAAACGTTTTCTCTTTTGTGCGAATGTTAATGGAACATTCCGTTGTATCATTCTTCAAACATTATGGAAACGTTAGTTTTAAATGTTCCATGAACGATTTATAAATAGTGTTTTTGTGCTAATGTTTTGAGAACATTATTAAAGACCAGACTTTGAAAGAACGTTCTATTAATGTTACTGGAAAGAATGTTTGTTCATCGTCATAAAAGTCCATCTATCCATCATAAAAGTGCATCATAAAAGTGCATCTATCCATCATAAAAGTGCATCTGTCCATCATAAAAGTGCATCTATCCATCATAAAAGTGCATCTATTCATCATAAAAGTGGATCTGTCCATCATAAAAGTGCATCTGTCCATCATAAAAGTGCATCTGTCCATCATAAAAGTGCATCTGTCCATCATAAAAGTGGATCTGTCCATCATAAAAGTGCATCTGTCCATCATAAAAGTGCATCTGTCCATCATAAAAGTGCATCTATCCATCATAAAAGTGCATCTGTCCATCATAAAAGTGCATCTATCCATCATAAAAGCGCATCTATCCATCATAAAAGTGCATCTATCCATCATAAAAGCGCATCTATCCATCATAAAAGTGCATCTGTCCATCATAAAAGTGCATCTATCCATCATAAAAGTGCATCTATCCATCATAAAAGTGGATCTGTCCATCATAAAAGTGCATCTGTCCATCATAAAAGTGCATCTGTCCATCATAAAAGTGCATCTGTCCATCATAAAAGTGGATCTGTCCATCATAAAAGTGCATCTGTCCATCATAAAAGTGCATCTGTCCATCATAAAAGTGCATCTATCCATCATAAAAGTGCATCTATCCATCATAAAAGTGGATCTGTCCATCATAAAAGTGCATCTGTCCATCATAAAAGTGCATCTGTCCATCATAAAAGTGCATCTGTCCATCATAAAAGTGGATCTGTCCATCATAAAAGTGCATCTGTCCATCATAAAAGTGCATCTGTCCATCATAAAAGTGCATCTATCCATCATAAAAGCGCATCTATCCATCATAAAAGTGCATCTATCCATCATAAAAGCGCATCTATCCATCATAAAAGTGCATCTATCCATCATAAAAGTGCATCTGTCCATCATAAAAGTGCATCTGTCCATCATAAAAGTGCATCTGTCCATCATAAAAGTGCATCTATCCATCATAAAAGCGCATCTATCCATCATAAAAGCGCATCTATCCATCATAAAAGTGCATCTATCCATCATAAAAGTGCATCTGTCCATCATAAAACTGCAACTCCTCCGCATTTACTCTCGACATGAGGAAAGGAGGGATGTCAGTCAATAAATGGGAGAACAAAGTAATTTGAAAAAGTAACAAAGATATTTTGTTGTAAATTTATAAGTAATGCGTTACATTACCAGTTACTTGACAAAAGTAATCTGATTACGTTACTTGTAATGCGTTACGCCCAACATTGATTATGAGCTTTAAAGATCTGCACAAATGAGTTTCTCCCCAAGACAGCATCATAGTGTCGGCCCAGATCCGGCCCACATCTGGATTCCACACGGCCCGGATCTGGACCGACACTGGCTGGGATTCAGATGCAGAACAACAGCAGGATTTCGATCTCCTACCTTGCAGACAGAAAAAAAAGTTTTTTGCTTATTTGTATGGTAAAAATTTTTCATCAGCAGCAAAGATATTGGTTAATAAAGTGAGATTAAATACATAAAGTAGAATATCTTTCTTATAATTGAGCATATTTAGTTATTGGAGGTTTGCGTAATATTCTGAGCTTGCATTTGATTGTGTTTTTACACAACAATCAGTGTCGGCCCAGATGTGGAATCCAGATGTGGGCCGGATCTGGGCCGACACTATGTTGCTGTCTGGGCAGATTTTCTTGATTTTTGATAGCAACATAGTGTCGGCCCAGATCCGGTACACATGGATTCCACACGGCCCGGATGTGGGCCGGATCTGGGCCGACACTATGTTGCCGTCTGGGATTCAGATGCAGAACGACAGCAGGATTTCGATCTCTTACCTTCCAGACAGCAGGTCCTCCACAGGCCCGAGTGGGTCATCACCTCCTCGTTTTTCTTGCCGGTCTCGTTCTCGTTGCTACTCTTCGTTTTGCAGACGCCGCGCGAGTACAGCCAATAGTCGGTTCCCACGGCGATGGTCATCAGACTGAAGGCGGCGAAGGCGCCCACCGTGGTCAGGAGCATCTGCACCCCGCGCTCAAACACTCCCATGCTGCCGCATTCCACGAAAGGGGAGACCCCTTTCCTCTTGATGTATAGGAAGTAAATATTTGTAAATTTAAGGGGACAAAGAAAGAAGAAACAAGGAGCCGGAGAGCCGAAAAGGGCCCTAGAGGAGTAGGGGCCAACAAAGGGCCGATGAATTGAGAACGAAGACAAGTGTGCGGGTCAACCTGCACCTACATGCTAACCCAACTGATTATGATTGACTTGAGTGGCACTCAATGGGAAGCTGAACATACTGCCATTCATCTTCACTCATTCTGGCCTGATCAGGCACGAGCCTTTAAATCCTCCGGACTGATGAATGGAAACCAGAATCACGTTCCCGAACCGCTGCCGGTCGAGTGGTGGCGCGCGCATCCATGAACCTAAAACCCGGAATATTCCAACAATGCGCGATTTAAAAACGACAGTTTGGGTTCGAATTGTGATTAGAACGAGACACGCGCGTCGACTGAATCAATCCATCCTGGCGATGATGATGATGATCAAAGAAACGAGAGGTTAAAAAAATAAAGGATAAAATCACTCGTTTTTTCTTCTAAAATTCTGATCTCCAGTTTCCATATGTGTCCTTTATGTCGTCGAATGTTCGCGAGGAAAAGAGCGAGCGATCATCATCACGCCACATGAACCCGGTCGCGCTCGCTTCACCGCAGCCCTGCTGTTCTCCGGTCCGCGGAACCGGTCACATCACACCCGGTGGCCGATCCGCAGCCCACCCGCTCCATAAACCACACGTACAAGTGAAAAAAGAAAAAAAGAAAAAAGGAAAAAAGGCGAATCACGACGGATGAATAAAACCCCCTCACCGAGCGCTGCTCCTCTCACGGCGCTGGGAATGAAAGGGTCAGTCGCGGGAACATCTGATTTTAGTCCCTCTTCCTGTTCGGGATCGGGTTCCAGCAGATGGAGGTTCTCGCGCGCGCGCGCGTGTGTGTGTGTGTGTGTGCGTCTGTCTAGTGCCGCTTGTTGCTGGCGAGACGAGAAACATTTAAACACTTTGGTTTAATTTGCGCACGAGACATCAAAACCATCACGAACGTCAGAATTCCTCTCGTTATCTCATTATGGCTCATAAACATGTTCAACATCTGCAGCTGTAGCTTTAAGTCTCATTCTGTGACTTTGAGATCTCAGAACTGAGAATTTATTTAGGGACTAGATCATAGTTTTGGTTATATTTGGTTTGAACCTGACACAAACACACACATACACATGCACACACACATGTGAGATTTTGCAGTGAAGTTGGCCGTATGATGATGATGGTGCTGATGCTGACGGATGCTGCTGTTGCCAAGGCGACTGTCTCCCTCTTGCGATGGATTCAGCATTAGAGATGTTTTTACCGCACAGCGCACAACTATTACCCTTCGTTTACATGTCATCAGATGCGCTAGAGCTGCACTTCATCACACTCTTTACTGTGATCACAGCATCAGATGTGTGTGTGTGTGTGTGTGTGTGTGAGAGAGAGGGAGAGAGTGAGAGAGACCGAAGGACACACTTTACATGCAGGACGGCGAACACCATGCGGCACGGAGAGAGAGAGAGAGATCAAGAAGATTTATGAATTTGGAATACAATGCAGTGACGTCACACGCGAGGAGGATTCTGATTGGCCGAGGCTCTGGCTGATGGTGCTGCAGCTGATGTGTCTGTGTTCCTCATGTCATGTCTCACACACACACACACACACACACACACACACACACACACACACACACACACACACACACACACACACACACACACACACACACACACACACACACACACACACACACACACACACACACACACACACACACACACACACACACACACACACACACACCTGTACATCAGCATCCTACTGAAAAGAAGCAAAGCAAAACACCAAAGTGTGTTTGGAGTGTGTGTGTGTGTGTGTGTGTGTGTGTGTGTGTGTGTGTGTGTGTGTGTGTTCAGTGGCTCAATCAGAGTATCTGGCAGCTCTGCTGGTCTATTTGTTCGTTCTGTTTTCCGACACGATTCACAGCAGAACATTAGACGGATTACAGCGACTGATCAAACACTGTCTGTGCGCTTTATTCCTCTCAGTCGCTGAACTCACTGTGTGTGTCCGTGTCAGTGTGTCTGCGCTCACATCTGGAGTGTGTCCGTGTCAGTGTGTCTGCCCTCACATCTGGAGTGTGTCCTGGTCAGTGTGTCTGCGCTCACATCTGGAGTGTGTCCGTGTCAGTGTGTCTGCGCTCACATCTGGAGTGTGTCCGTGTCAGTGTGTCTGCGCTCACATCTGGAGTGTGTCCGTGTCAGTGTGTCTGCGCTCACATCTGGAGTGTGTCCGTGTCAGTGTGTCTGCGCTCACATCTGGAGTGTGTCCGTGTCAGTGTGTCTGCGCTCACATATGGAGTGTGTCCTGGTCAGTGTGTCTGCGCTCACATCTGGTGTGTGTCCTGGTCAGTGTGTCTGCGCTCACATCTGGAGTGTGTCCTGGTCAGTGTGTCTGCGCTCACATCTGGAGTGTGTCCGTGTCAGTGTGTCTGCGCTCACATCTGGAGTGTGTCCTGGTCAGTGTGTCTGCACTCACATCTGGAGTGTGTCCTGGTCAGTGTGTCTGCGCTCACATCTGGAGTGTGTCCTGGTCAGTGTGTCTGCGCTCACATCTGGTGTGTGTCCTGGTCAGTGTGTCTGCGCTCACATCTGGAGTGTGTCCTGGTCAGTGTGTCTGCGCTCACATCTGGAGTGTGTCCTGGTCAGTGTGTCTGCGCTCACATCTGGTGTGTGTCCTGGTCAGTGTGTCTGCGCTCACATCTGGAGTGTGTCCTGGTCAGTGTGTCTGCACTCACATCTGGAGTGTGTCCTGGTCAGTGTGTCTGCGCTCACATCTGGAGTGTGTCCTGGTCAGTGTGTCTGCACTCACATCTGGAGTGTGTCCTGGTCAGTGTGTCTGCGCTCACATCTGGAGTGTGTCCGTGTCAGTGTGTCTGCGCTCACATCTGGAGTGTGTCCTGGTCAGTGTGTCTGCGCTCACATCTGGAGTGTGTCCTGGTCAGTGTGTGTGCGCTCACATCTGGAGTGTGTCCTGGTCAGTGTGTCTGCGCTCACATCTGGAGTGTGTCCTGGTCAGTGTGTGTGCGCTCACATCTGGAGTGTGTCCTGGTCAGTGTGTCTGCGCTCACATCTGGAGTGTGTCCGTGTCAGTGTGTCTGCACTCACATCTGGAGTGTGTCCTGGTCAGTGTGTCTGCGCTCACATCTGGAGTGTGTCCTGGTCAGTGTGTCTGCGCTCACATCTGGAGTGTGTCCTGGTCAGTGTGTGTGCGCTCACATCTGGAGTGTGTCCTGGTCAGTGTGTCTGCGCTCACATCTGGAGTGTGTCCTGGTCAGTGTGTGTGCGCTCACATCTGGAGTGTGTCCTGGTCAGTGTGTCTGCGCTCACATCTGGAGTGTCTCCGTGTCAGTGTGTCTGCGCTCACATCTGGAGTGTGTCCTGGTCAGTGTGTCTGCGCTCACATCTGGAGTGTGTCCTGGTCAGTGTGTCTGCGCTCACATCTGGAGTGTCTCCTGGTCAGTGTGTCTGCGCTCACATCTGGAGTGTGTCCGTGTCAGTGTGTCTGCGCTCACATCTGGAGTGTGTCCTGGTCAGTGTGTCTGCGCTCACATCTGGTGTGTGTCCTGGTCAGTGTGTCTGCGCTCACATCTGGAGTGTGTCCGTGTCAGTGTGTCTGCGCTCACATCTGGAGTGTGTCCTGGTCAGTGTGTCTGCGCTCACATCTGGTGTGTGTCCTGGTCAGTGTGTCTGCGCTCACATCTGGAGTGTGTCCGTGTCAGTGTGTCTGCGCTCACATCTGGAGTGTGTCCTGGTCAGTGTGTCTGCGCTCACATCTGGAGTGTGTCCTGGTCAGTGTGTGTGCGCTCACATCTGGAGTGTGTCCGTGTCAGTGTGTCTGCGCTCACATCTGGAGTGTCTCCTGGTCAGTGTGTCTGCGCTCACATCTGGAGTGTGTCCGTGTCAGTGTGTCTGCGCTCACATCTGGAGTGTGTCCTGGTCAGTGTGTCTGCGCTCACATCTGGTGTGTGTCCTGGTCAGTGTGTCTGCGCTCACATCTGGAGTGTGTCCGTGTCAGTGTGTCTGCGCTCACATCTGGAGTGTGTCCTGGTCAGTGTGTCTGCGCTCACATCTGGTGTGTGTCCTGGTCAGTGTGTCTGCGCTCACATCTGGAGTGTGTCCTGGTCAGTGTGTCTGCGCTCACATCTGGAGTGTGTCCGTGTCAGTGTGTCTGCGCTCACATCTGGAGTGTGTCCTGGTCAGTGTGTCTGCGCTCACATCTGGAGTGTCTCCTGATCAGTGTGTCTGCGCTCACATCTGGAGTGTGTCCTGATCAGTGTGTCTGCGCTCACATCTGGAGTGTGTCCTGGTCAGTGTGTCTGCGCTCACATCTGGAGTGTGTCCTGGTCAGTGTGTCTGCGCTCACATCTGGAGTGTGTCCTGGTCAGTGTGTCTGCGCTCACATCTGGAGTGTCTCCTGGTCAGTGTGTCTGCGCTCACATCTGGAGTGTGTCCTGGTCAGTGTGTCTGCGCTCACATCTGGAGTGTGTCCTGGTCAGTGTGTCTGCGCTCACATCTGGAGTGTGTCCTGGTCAGTGTGTCTGCGCTCACATCTGGAGTGTGTCCTGGTCAGTGTGTCTGCGCTCACATCTGGAGTGTGTCCTGGTCAGTGTGTCTGCGCTCACATCTGGAGTGTGTCCTGGTCAGTGTGTCTGCGCTCACATCTGGTGTGTGTCCTGGTCAGTGTGTCTGCGCTCACATCTGGAGTGTGTCCTGGTCAGTGTGTCTGCGCTCACATCTGGGGAGTGTGTCCTGGTCAGTGTGTCTGCGCTCACATCTGGTGTGTGTCCTGGTCAGTGTGTCTGCGCTCACATCTGGAGTGTGTCCTGGTCAGTGTGTCTGCACTCACATCTGGAGTGTGTCCTGGTCAGTGTGTCTGCACTCACATCTGGAGTGTGTCCTGGTCAGTGTGTCTGCGCTCACATCTGGAGTGTCTCCTGGTCAGTGTGTCTGCGCTCACATCTGGAGTGTGTCCTGGTCAGTGTGTCTGCGCTCACATCTGGAGTGTGTCCTGGTCAGTGTGTCTGCGCTCAAATCTGGAGTGTGTCCTGGTCAGTGTGTCTGC